TAAGTCAATCACAAAAGGGCAAATATTATATGAGACCACTATTATAAGAACCAAGAAAAGGTTTACACACAGAAAAAAACAATCTTTGATGGTTAGGAGAGAGGGGAGAGGTAGGGAGGGGAAATCATTAACTAGACAGTAGACAAGTGTTAACTTTGGTGAAGGGAAAGACAACGCACAATATAGGGGATGTCAGCACAACTTGACCAAGGCAAAGCAATAGAAGCTTCACAGACACATCCAAACACCTTGAGGGACTGAGTTATTTTGGCTGAGGGCTGGGGACCATGGTCTTGGGGGACATCTAGGTAAACTGGCATAATATAATTCATAAACTAAACGTTCAACATCCTACTTTGGTGAGTAGCATCTGGTCTTAAAAGCTTGTGAGTGGCCATCTAAGATACATCCATTGGTCCCATCATATTCAGAGCAAAGGAGAATGAAGAAAACCAAAGACACAAGGAAGTATTAGTTCAAAGGACTAATGGACCACATGAACCACAGCTTCCACCAGCCTGAGCCCAGAAGAAGTAGATGGTGCCCGGCTACCACCACCTACCACTCTGACAGGGATCACAGTAGAGGGTTCCAGACACATTGGAAGAAAAATGTAGAACAAAATTCAAATTCACAAAAGAAGACCAGACTTACTGGTCTGACAAAGACTGGAGGAACCCCCAAGACTATGGCCCCCGGACACCCTGCTAACTCAGAACTGAAGCTACTCCTGAAGTCCATCTTTCAGCCAAAGATTAGACAGGCCCATAAAACAAACAATAACACAGGTGAGGAAGTGCTTCTTAGTTCAGTCAAGTATATGAGACCAAATGGGCAACACTTGCCCAAATCAAAGATGAGAAGACAGGAAGGGACAGGAAAACTGGACAAATGGACACGAAGATCCTGGGGTGAAAAGGGAAACGGGGAGAGTGGTGACGCATTGTGGGGATTTCAACCAATGTCACAAAACAATTTATGGATTGACACAGTGACTGCTACAATGGGCTTAAGCGTAACAATGATTGTGAGGATGGCGAAGGACCAGGCAGCATTTCGTTCTGTCGTACATAGGGTCGCTATGAGACGGAACTGACTCGATGGCACCTAACAACAACATACCTTAAAAAAAGTACAGACTAACGATAAAATTTTACTCTATAACATGGATATACATAAGAATGTTGCTATATTTTAGAAGTGGCATACTATAATTTATTATTCTTATATAATATGCTATTTAGAAAAACAGGTATACTACAATTTTGTAAATGAACTATGTTTCTCAAGGTAAAGTTGCTGTTATTTAAGAATTAAAAAGTAGCAAGCATGAGTTAAGAAAGGGCTTGACTTAAAGGAAAAACTATCAGTTACTTGAAAATCATGTACAACACTGATTCAGCAATTCTTTTAGCCTTTTTTTTTTTTTTAGTGTTGTTCTTTGGAATTTATTATTTATTACTGTTACTGACTTCATAAGCTATTTTCATTATGATATCCATATTGTCTGTCTTCAGTAATTTTTTATAATATCAAAGAAATGAATTGCGAAAAATATGGTATCTTTAGATTCATCAGACAAATATTTATTAAGTGTGTCTTATCTGTCAGGTTCTTCAAGGTGCTAAGAATAGAGCAAATAATAAATCATACAAAGAAATCCCTGCTCTCATGAAGTTTATCTTCGAGGAGTAGGGTAGAAGACATAAAATAACAAAACAATTAAAAAAACACATATATGTCAGATGGTGATAAATCTCACAGAGAAAGGAGAACAGAGATTCAAACAGGTATAGTTATTGCAATTTTAAATAGGTCAGAGAAGGTTTAGCTGAGCAGAAGTTAAAGAAAAAGAAAACATATACATGTAGAGTGGATCAGTGAGGCTAAAAGTTGGTTTTTAAAAAGACTAAAAAAATTAATAAACTTCTTGGTGAGACTGATTAAAGCCAAAACAAGGATAGACTGAGTTACCAATGTCAAGAGCGAAAAAGATCGTACATATTGTAAAGACAATAAGAGCATGTTATGAACTTCTTTAAGCTGATAACATTAAAAAAATTTAGATGAAACGGACAAATTCCTAAGAAAAAATTTAACAAAACTGCCATGAAAAATAGAAAATTTAAATAGTCTTATATGTGCTACTAAAGAAATTAAGTCTGTAATTAAAAACTCTCCCACAAAGATAAACCCCAGATGGCTTCAATGGTGAAATCTTCCAAATACTTAAGGAAGAAATAAGATCAAGGTTACAAAAACTTTCCCAGTGAATAGACAAAGAGGGAATAATTCCCAACTTGTTTTATGAAGTCAGCATAAGCTTGACACTAAAACCTGACACAAAATGTAAGATGACAGCCACTCTCTAGTGAACACAGATGTGGAAAACCTTTAAAAAAATCCAGTGATATTTAAAAGATTATAAATCATGAGTAAATTGTAAATATTCCAGGAATGAAAGGGTTATTAAACTTCAAAAATATTGAACACTTTTCTACCTGAGGTGGGGAACAAGATAAAGACATTCACTGTCATTATTTCTCTCAACACAGTACAATAGGTCCTCGCCAGTGCAATAAGGCAAAACAAAAAACAAACAAAAAAAAAACTTAGAATATATTAAAATTGGATAAGAAAGCTTTCGGCATTCACAGACGACATGATTGTATATGTAGAAATTATAAAAGAATCCAAAAACTATTAGAAATAACAAGTGAAGTTGGCAAAGTTTATTCTAGCAACCACATACCAGGCAAAGATTCCCTAAGCAAGAAACAAAAAAGGACTACCCATAAAAGAAGAAGCTATTACATTGGACTTTATTAAAATTAAGAACTTCCTTAAAGACTACATAAAGAATTTTTGGTTCTTCAATGACACCATTAAGAGAGTGAAAACGCAAGTCACAGACTGGAGGGAAAAAAAAAAACGGTAGTGGGACGGGGGTTTTGACTAGAAGAAGGGTAGGAGACAACTTTCTAGAATGACAGAAATATCCTATATTTTGTTTTGAGTGGTGATTACACACAATTTACATTTGTTAAAACTTTAACTGAACATTTAAGATTTGTGAATTTTATTGTATATCAATTTTATCAACAATTAAAAAAAAGTAGTTATAAAAAGAGAGACACACAGAGGAAATGTATGACTTAGAAGATAAGTTAGAGAAAATTACCCAGAATCAAGCACAAAGAGACAAAAAACTGGACAATGTGGAAGAGAAGTGAAGAGACAGGAAGGCCAGAATGAGAAGACGGAACATATGTTGACTCATAGTTCTAAAAGGAGAAAAGAAAATAGATGAATTAAGGACAACTTGAAGAGATAATGGTTGAAAATCTTCCCAAATTGATGAAAGGCACCCATTCATAGATTTAAAAAGCCCAACAAATCCCAATCAGGACAAATAAAAAGAAATCTACCTCTAAACCCATCAAAGTAAAACTATAGAACACTAAAACGAAGAAGTAAAGGAAGAACTATTTCAGGTAGGGTGATTAGGAAAATCTTCTTTGAGGCATTGTATTTGATCAGAGACCTATATCTGAGCACTGCAGGGCAAAGGAACAGAAAATACAGTGACTAGAGTGAAGTAAATTGAGGGTGGAGGGGGAGAGGAGAGGAGTGGTAGGCGTTGAGGTCATTGACATAGTCAAGGCTAGAATACACGAAGCCCTAAAAGCCATGATAAGGACTTTGAATTTTTCTTCTAAGTGTGACAGGAAGAAGCCCTGGAGGATTTTCATTAGGGGAGTGACCTAATATGTTTAATGTATGAAAAAGATTACTTGGTACTGTGTGAAGAATAGAGTATAAGAGGACATAAATAAATGTTAGGTGAACATTAGGAGGCCAGTGACAAACCCCAGGCTAGAGATGATGTGTACTTAGACTGGATGTGTTTCTAGTGGAGGCAGAGAGAGAAGAAGATACATTTGGAACATATATAAGAACAATAGCTAACATTTATTAAGCACTTATTATATGTTATACGAAACTTACATATATCAACTCTTTTAATTCTTTTAACAACTGTATGGAGTTGGTAATCTTATCCTCATTTTGTCAATGAGAATGCAAACCCAGAGGGGTAAAAAAAAAAAAATGCCCAAGATCATACAGCTGCTAGTGGTGAAGACAAGTCCTGTGACTCCACATTCTTTGCTCTTAACCACTATGTGACAGAACTTTTAGTGACAGACTGTATGTGGGAGGTAGGGAAGGTATGGCAGGAAAACCAAGAAATCAAGAGTAACTCCCAGATTTCAGGCTTGTGTAAATGGGTGGACAGTGATGTCATTTACTGAGCTTTAGTACATGGTAGGAAGGTCACGTTTAGAGGAGAAGATGAGTTTAGTTTTGAATAGGCTGTGTTTAAATCGCCTTTAATGATCCACAGAGATGTCAAGTGTGTCGGGAGTTTCAAGATGAAGCTAGGACTGGAGAGATCAAGTTGGGAGTCAGCACATATAAATCATGGGCATGAATAAGACTGCCCAAGGAGAGAATATAAAACAAAAATATAAGAGAGTACAGGACTTAGTAAGCCCTAAAAAACTCCATATGTAGAATTCAGGTAAAGGAGGGAAGGCTAGTGAAGGAGATTGAGAAAGAGTAAAGAGAAGGATGTGGTGTCACAGAAGTCACGAGAAAAGATTTGTTCAAGTAGAGAACGGTTAACAATGTTGAATGCTGCTTGAGCGATCAAGGTATCTTATTCTTTCATATAGTTCTCAAGCTTAAAAATGTAGAATATACTGTAGTCTCAACAATTCTGAATGAAAATTTTCATACAAGTGACATCTAAGAATAAAAAATAATCTTACAATGATGAATATTCTAAATTTTTCTCAACCATTTAACTATAAAAATATTTAAAACTATATAAAAATCATTAGTTTTCAATTTTTTAGTTTTTATTGCAAAAAAGCATAAAATAGCTAAAATATATTTTATTTATATTACATGTAAATAGATATTAAAATTATTCTTACCTATATAAAAAAAGATCTTTGGCAAGCCGCTTAGGTCCAATGATTTTAAAGATAATTTCATATGTTTCAAGTGCCTTCCGATGAACTCCACCAGGTAATGCTGGATGCAGACATTGAGCTAGGCGTTTTCCTACGGTCAACTTTTTGGGTACTACCTGGTACTTTGCATTATTTTGTAAAACCTTAAAGAAAATATTTGAATGCAGTTGAGAAAAACAAAAATATTTTCATTTTCTCACATAGTATTATCAAAATTATCACTGTAGGATTTCCTAACACTTTGAAATTTACAAAGCCCGCCCCAAAGAACTTTTATGTTGGTCACATCTATCAATATGCATCACACTAGAAATTAAAACTGAGAATTTAAAAAAGTATTTGATTTGTTTAAAAAAAATATACGTATTACATGTTAACAGATATATTTTTTATGAAAATAACAATATTTTCCAAAAAAATTTTGAGAAGAGACACTACTTTTGATTTTTGCAAATCTTTAATGTCTGACTTACTAGAAGATAATGGATTATCATACCAACGTCAGCATATGTTTGTTTGATGTACGTGAGGAAAATCTGACCTCACCACAGATACATGGTTGGAAAAGGAAGAACCATTGCTCTAATATACCATATACAGCAAGTAATTCTAATGTTTATAAGAACCTACATGAGATTATAATTACTGCAATACCCATTACCGCTAAATGAAAATACTTGAGTTTCTACACATTTTATCAATAAAATGCTCACACCAAGAAACAAAAATTGTAACTATTACTAAATTTTCCCTCTTTTCTTTGCCTTTTGTTTCTAATAAACATAATTTCCCAATTGAACTGAAGTATTTTTCTTTCTTTATTCAACCATAATACTTATTTCTTTAGAGATAATGGTCAGGGCAGAACTTACATAAGAAAATTCTATCTTCACAGGAAATGCGGGATGGAAAGGGGGAGTGTGCTGTCACATTACAGGGACTGCAACTAGGGTCACATAACAATATATGTATAAATTTTTGTATGAGAAATTAACTTAAGCTGTAAACTTTCACCTAAAGCACAATAAAACAAAAAGAAAACTGTATCTTGCAAACAACCCAAAGGACATCAGTTATTTTAAGTAATATAAAGACCTGATAAATGCGGTCCTTCAGTATAAACCTAGAATACAGCATTAAAGTCCTGACAGAATAGCATAAACCAGAATGAAGTTTCAGAATGAAATGTAGAATAATATGCTAGAAATTGAACTTAAAAGAAATACAAGTCCTTTATTTTACAAAAAAAGAACTGAAGTTGAGATATATAAAATGATCTGCCAAAGTGCTGGGAGAAGAATCAGCACTAGAACTCCCGTTCATTAAACAGTGAAGTTTCTGAGGTCCACTGAGATAAAACATTTTCAGTGTTCTTCCTACTGTAAGTCTTCAATTCAATTTTAAATCTGATGTAATGAATGGAAATAAAATTAGATCTGTAGATAATGAAAAGTAGATTTGGGGAAATAGTAAGAATATAGCTATGAAAAACATTTTATACTTTCAAACCAGCTGTCTTCCATTTCTAGATTACCAGAATTAATGTGAACTTTGGAGACAGGAGCAAAGAGTCAATATTTACAAATATTTTTTAGAAAAATATAATTATTACCACAAGTACCTCTATAGAATGAAGTTCAATGATATATAACACAAATTGTTTCAATAAAGAAAATTCTATTACTACCAAGGAAAACGGGAGGAAAAAAAGCAAAACATAGCATCATTTCTGAATCGGGAAACTTGTATACATGAAGTGAAAATTTAGTATATTAATAAATAATAAAATTTTTAACTAAGACATCTATTTGGGCTATCTCTAGGAAATTACATATACATATGTGTGTATATATATGTGTATGTATACACACACACACATATATATATGTATATATACACATATATATATATGAAATCCCTGCCTCTCCCACAATTTTAGGTAAATTTCTTCAACCTACTTTGTCCTATCTGGATACAGTGAAATCTGTTTATAAACAAAAATAATTGTGTACTTATTTAGGTGAATTAATAACAATTTAATGAACTGCTTTTAAAAATAATTTCTAGTAACAGCTTCAAGAAGAAAAAGAACCTAACCTTTAAGCAAACACATGTTTTCGGATGTAACTTCTAATTAATTACTTGAGCATGTTGTAAAAATGAAGAATTTTTCAAACCTCAAATGATCAATGTTAGAAGCTAACATGTGAAACAGAAGTTTGAGTCTAATTTTAAAATAAATTCACTGCACATTGAAATTGAAGCTTTTCTTTTTAAGACATCAAAGTGATTATCTGTAGTATTAGGTTGAAAACTAGTGTCCTTGGTATATATTTTAAGACTAATTTCTTTCCTAAAAATTGTATGCTAAGCTGATATTAAAAAAATTATTGGAAGAGCTCTCCTTTCCTCGATGCCCTCCAGCCCCTTTAATATTTAGAAGAATTCCTACTTGATAACAGCTATGAAAAAAAGACAAAAACAAAAAACTACGCGTGTGAGGTGAGAAAAATTTAACCTAAGTTTTTTTTGTTGTTTTTTTTTTAAAGGGCCAAAATTAGATGTTAGGAGTTGGTCAGTGATGCCATCATGATTATAGCCAGGCATGTCAAGAAAGATCATTCAAGCCCAAGCTACAAGAACTAAGAGTTGCCTTGTAAAAAGTGCTGCATGTAACTTAGGCTTGACTAGATATAAAATGTTTCTTTGCTGCTATATACCACTTGGAAAAGACAGCAGTTACTGCTTCCCATTTGCAGTTTTTCATTTTGTTGCCAGCAACTCTAGGCTATTATCTGATACTCAATAACAGAAACTCATTAGCCCTCATGGTTAGCATATTGCTCCCTTGTCTTGTGTTTTTATAGGTAATAATGATGGTAATAACTATATATTGAAGTGCTATTGTTTCTTCAAATTAGAACTTCTAAAGCCTTAACAATATGCCTGACTACAAAGGCATAAAATAGCAGTACAAAAAAGTAATTCTGCAGGTTTGTTATGTTTTTAATTTCTTTACTTCAAGATTGAGAAATTCAACAAGTATGGATGCAGATTTTTAAAAATTTTTATTCCCTTTTGAAACGGATAAAACAGATGTACCTTGTTAAGTTTTCCAAGTGCCGATATTAAATCTGCCCATTCGCTGGAGTATTCAAAATTTTTCAGTGCTTTGTCGATTGCAGCTACATAGTTTCTGTATTTAGAGTCACTCAATAACTCCAGCTCTTCTGTGTTCATCCTCCCTCAGAGTCCTACTAGAGACCAGTTCGAAAGTCATGTAAAATCATTACCTACAAGAGTTTGCAGAAGGAATCAAGGTTACAATGTGAAGTATTAAAACAGGTTCAGATGATCTTAGTACAAAGTTAAAAGTTAACTTTAACTGTTTCTTGAGTTAGAAGTGATCAAAACTCTGGTCAGCTAGCATGTAGTGTCCTGGAAGTATTCAAAGATAGCTACCCATGAGTTTCTTCCTGCTATTTTGTTGTTAGCTGCCATCTAGTGGGCTCCCAACTCATGGCATCCCCATGAACAATGGGACTGGACCATTGTGATCCACAGGGTTTTCACTGGCTGATTTTTTGGAAGTAGATTACCAGGCCTTTCTCCCTAGTCCATTTTAGTCTGAAAGCCCCATTGAAACATGTTCAGCATCATAGCAACACACAAACTTCCACTGACATATGGGTGTTGGCTGAGCTTGAGGTACATTTGCTGGGAGTTGAACCCAGATCTTCCACATGGAAGGTGAGAATTCTACCACTAAGCTACTATTTCTTCCTAGGACTGAAAAAACAGCTATAAGAATTTAGGGATACAGAAAAGTAGGAAATTCTCTGGCACTTATTTCAATTTATAAATCATGTTATTTCCCTGCCATATTTACATATGATAGTATTTCTGATATTTATACCCCTCCACTTATTCTGATATTTATAACCCTCCACTTAGTTTTGATCCTAAAATAGAGTAACACTGATTAGATTAGAAACATCAAGGACATATAAAAACAAAAAACAAACAGAGAGAAAGATATGAATTGGAAATCATTTTATTAAGCAATAAATGAACATATAGTATGAAGGAATATGAAGGAGTATCAGTTGTTGGGAAGTAAATTTTACTTTGAATAAAACTGATAGGAATATGTGGTGGTTTCAAAAATTTCCACAAATTTTTTGATAGCTCTTTCAAAAAGTGGTATCTAATTCTCCTCCCCTTGGGCTGGACTTTGTGACTCAATTGTAATGAAAAGAATAAGGCATGAGCTGTAAGGTGCAAGAGTGAATACTAGGTCATGAAAGACACTGCAGCTTCCTTCTTATTCTCTGTCTTTGATCACTAACTGTGGGGGAAGCTAGCTGCCATGTCATGAGGACTCTTCAAGTAGCTCTGTGGAGAGGTCCCTGTGATGAGGAACTGAGACCTTCTGCCAACAGCCATATGAATGAGCCATCTTAGAAGATCCTCCATCCCCAGTCAAGGCTTCATTTGACTACATCTCCAACTGATACCTGGACTGCAACTTTGAGACCTGTGCCAGAACTACACAGCTAAGCCTCTTAAATACATGACCTACAAAAAGTCAGCTGTTTTGGGTCACTCAGTTTGGGGGTAATTTGTTATGCAGCAATAGATAACTGATACAAAGCAGCAACATGGCTTGACCTGAGCCTTAACTTGTAACCAATGGGACAATCCTCTCCTTTTTTTTTTTTTTTTTTTGTTATCCTATCTGACTTCCGACTCTGCATCTTTCCCTAGAGCTGGGTTCACAATGCAAAGCATTATGCTGGGGGCTGACTAGAAAGACAATCACTGATCTCATGATACTTTAACTTCCAACTTGGAGGGGTGGGAGTGGGGAACAAAATAAAGTCAAACCTCTAAGATAATCTATTTTTCTCTTTAAAGTGATATTTGACTCCAGAAGCTAAAATAATACAAAGTTGATGTGGAGAAACAACTACTACTACTTTATTAAGTTACAGTGGACTCTCAGAACGAAAACCAAATATAAAGCAGTACTTTTAGGTACTCTAGGGAACTGAAGATAAACATGAAACTAAATAAGTGAATCAAAGATAATCTCAACTGTCTGTTTCAAAATAGATTTTGTTTCATAGAAGAGTTGGCTATGCAATTCTCCGACTAGGGTGGAAGTTCTTTGAGAGCAAGAACTGTTTAACATATCTGTGTATCACACAGCACATAACTTACAACAGTGAGGCTCAAGCTGGAGTTATATAAAAAGTGGTTTCAGTATAATGATTAACTGGGAATAAATGACAAATTATACAAGCTGCTTTATTATCAATCTATGGTTTCTAAAAAAAACTTTTAAAACTACATTTAACTATAAACACTCATGCAAAATAATTATGTGCTTCAGATACAAAAGACTTACTGACATACTAAACAATGTCATAAGCTTTGATAACAAGTAAATACTGATAGTGATATATATGGAATGAATGTTAGAATGAACACAAACTAGAATTTCTAATTTTGCTTCTGGGATCAAAGAAGACAGAACAACAGCAAAACCTAATTCAACTCAGGAGAAAATATCAACTTATGTTTTCTGAAAAGTGTACAAAAATAGTGTAAAATAACTAAATTCTAATCAGTAAACCCAAGAATGTACTGGTAGTAGACAGTAAAGCACATGCATAAATTTACTGACAGGGATAATTTTTCTTTTCTTTAGCAAGATCTCCAAAATAAGGTTAAACAACACATTAATTTTGTACGTAAGATATATAATATTTGATGCATGGGGAAGATTAAGCTGAAAAATAATTTAGCAGTAATTTCTATCAATGAAAATAAAATAGGGATCATTTATCTATAATTAGGTTAGCTTTATAATTTGACATATTACTTCAATTGACATGTCCTTTAGACAAAGTTTTCTTATTTGGTATAAAAAAGTTAACCAGTAATAATCAGCTAAATCTGTGGGGTTTATAACTCTTGTATGTGTTCCCAGCTAGAAAGTTGAGTTATATAAGAAAACTGGATTTTCTGATGTTATTTATTTAGCTTATTAAAAATTCTAAATATTTAAATGTGATTGAAAAACAGTTCATATAATTTTGCTTAGGACACATGTAACACTGATACAGGAACATTAAAAACAAAATCTTATGAAAATAGCAGAAAAATTTTCTGTAGAAGATTCATCAGCAGAACTACAATCATTTTTTTTTTTTTTTCTTCATGTGAAAAGATGGTCAGATCCTGGGACTAAAAATTTAGTTATGCTTCTTCAATGACTTTTTTTTAAAAGCCATTTATAAGTGTATAATTTGGTGGCATTAATTACATTCACCATGTTTTCTTACCATCACCACTATCCATTTTCAAAAGTTTTACATCACCTCAAATAGAAATTCAGTACTTCCTCAGTAATAACCTCCCATTTCTCCTCTCTCCAGCCCCTGGTAACCACTAATAAATTTCTATCTTTATGCATTTGCCAATTCTAGATATCTCACATAAGTGGGCTCATACATTATTTGTCCTTTTGTGCCTGACTTATTTCACTCAGCATGTTTTTCAAGATTCATCCATATACAAGCATGTATCAGAATTTTTTTTTTTCTCTTATGGCTGAATAACATTCCATTGTACGTATATATCACATTTTGTTTATCCATTCGTCTGCTGATGAACACTTGGGTTGTTTCCACCTTTTGACTATTGTGAATAATGCTGCAATGAACATTAGTGTACACCTATCTGAGTCCCTGCATTCAAGTCTCTTGGGTATATATATACCTACAAGTAGAATTGTTGGGTCATATGGTAATTCCATGTTCAACATTTTAAGGAACTGTCCTCAATGATTTTAGTGCAAATAAAACTATTCATTATATATCAGAAGAGGTGTTCTAGGGATGCACCACTTGTGAACTTTTCATCCAAAATATAAATAAATGTAAAATCTATTTTTCTGGGTTTTGTTTTTCCATATTTCATTTTAAAATGGCTTATGTCAGTGCTTCTTAAATTATCCGTGGTGAAGGACCAGTTCTTTTCCCCCTAATCTATCAGTGACTGATACTTTTATAAAATATAAAATCATGCACTTAGTTGTTGTATCATCAAATTGCTATAAAAGCTTCTAAATGTTTACTCACATTTCTTTGCTTATCTCATCATGTGTTAAGAAAGAGTTTGTGATAGTCCATGAATCATACAGATCATAATTCAAGTACAACCTATTCCCATACTGCCTCAAGAAAACTTTATACCCTGCTTCTTCCCCAGAAAGGTGGTGGCACAAAGCAAAAAATACACACATTCAATAACAAAATAGTGGTAGAAAACCCAGGCCATGAAAAGACAGGCAGTGCCTCCCAGCACAGGTGCTGAAGTCAAGACAGCTGGGAATTCAAATCCTAGTTCTAACACTTGCTTAGCAGCAAATATGACCTTGGGCAAGATGCTCAATTTTTCCAAGCCTCAGTTTCCTCATCTATAAAAGATGATAATGCCTACCTCAATGGGTTGTCAAAATTAAATAAATTGAAGTTATCAGAGTGCTAGCCACATAGAAAATACTTGGAAAAAAAATCATAGTTATTGCCACCATTGTTACCTGTAAAAATATGACTATGAGGGCTAATAAGTTTCTGTCACTGAGCATCAGGTAGGGTTCTGAATTTCTTAGAAGCAAAATGGAAAACTGGAGACAATCATAACCTATCTCTACCTGTCTAATGGATACAAATCAAAATGTGTGATTTCCAAATGTGTCTGTTCTTTGTTTTTACTACTTCATTGAGGTTTAATTTATGTACATTAAACCGCACATATTTAGCATATATATATTTAATAAGTTTTCACTAATGTATGCACCCATAAAATATCTTTGTGTAGTTATTCTGAAATTAGGTCTATTCATTTTTATAACCATTTAAACAAAATTTTTAAAATTGAGATGGTCTGATGCAATATTTCATTTATTTTAATCTTAGCTTTTTATACTATAAAATATAAAAATATTAATTGGTACTCATTTATTTGCTTGATCATCTTCATAGGGCCAAATTTGCGTAGAAGGAGCTCTGGTGGCACAGTGGTTAAGCACTGGGCTGCAAACCGAAGGGTCAGCAGTTCGAACCCAGCATCCACTCCACGGGAGAAAAAAGATGTGGCAGTCAATCATCATGACAATCAAGTTCCCTCACCACAGTTAAGATATAGCATATTTCTATCACCTCAAACAAGATAAAAAACATTCCCATCACCTCCATCAAATAAGCATTTTGTTTGAAATAAA